TAACGTGCTATATTTGACTCTGTAACTTCCCAAAACGCCATAAAACCTGTACATAGGGGGTACTGTTTTACACGTGAGACTTTGCTGAATACAAATATGTGTATTTTATTGCAGTAAAAGCAAACAGTATTATGACACTGACCGTTAAAATGTCATGTAGAACTAAAAAAATCCAAATAAATCGTATTTTCTCCCATTTTTTTCACATTAAATTATGTTTCATAGCTAAATATTTGATATTAAATGAAAGCCCTGTTTCCCCTGAATAAAATGATATATAATAAGGGTGGGTGCATTTACTATGAAAGAGGTGTATTACGGTTGGACAGACATGTAGCGCAAATGCCAGGTTTTGTTTACATTTTGTTTTGTTCACAACGTGTACATTTGGCTCCGTCCTTAAGGGGTTAAAACCATACATTTATAAAACATTAGTAGGTGTTCAAAGGCCCTGTCTATGACATCACTTGCTGCTGCAGCCTGACACAGGTCAGAGTATTTTGGTGGTTGCCATCTTCAAACAGTCGTATCTTTAAAACTATAAACCTACAGCGAAGAGCTTTATATTGTGAGAATCACAAGACCCAGACCTACATTTTGATGCATAGTATGTCTCTGAAGTATTAAAATGAAGGCACAGTCGCAGTTTAGAAATTGCACTTCAAATTTGAGCTTTGTAGAGTGAAGTTTCAATGAATGTCAATGGACGGCGTTAGTTGCAAACAAATGATTATATTGTGAAAACTATCAGGACTATGGCTTAGCCGTTGACATGTTTAGTGGCAGCAGGGATAGCTGAACGTTTTGATATAAGATTTGTGTAGGTGGGCCTGAAAATAAGGGAGTGGTGGCAGTTTAGAAATCATGTCCTGATTTTTCAGCTTTTGCCAGCTCCCACTCTAGCTTTGCCATTCATTCCTATGGGACAAATTTCGCCACAAGAACGACGATATTCCGTGAACCATTCGGCTAAACGTTCCACAAAGTAATAGCAATCCGATCGGGAACAATCTGCACGTTTTGGTAAATTTTGGTCTATGTAGTGTAAAAACTGTGGGAGGAGTTAGGGTGGCAAATTTGGCTATAATAAGAATAATATATATGTGAGATAACATTAAGTGTTCTTGCAAGAACACTTAATAATATATATGTGAGATAACAATAAGTGGTCTTGCTATGCAAGAACACTTAATAACAACAAAGACCACACTTCAGGGTGCCTTTATAAGGAACCACAATGTTATGTTGTATTATATTACCAGCTGGCATTTAATCTGAGGATGTAGTTACTGAAGATAGCTCTTTCATTGCATTTGCCACTCAATGAACCCTACAACTACAGATCTCTGCATGATAATCTTATTAGCGGCATGTTTATTGCCAGTTAAAAGATAACATGATGGAGATCATATCTTAACTAAAGATATAGTTATATAATCAGAGCGAGTGTGTTGCACAGGATGGATGCTGTAATCAATATGAGGACCTCCTAATTCAAAACAAATATAGCATTAGCAAACCAATGCTATATAGGGAGTTTCGAGATAACGTATGTTTATTATTCCAAAGAAGAGGTTTCCAAGATGCATTCTTAATTCTACCTTTCAGTAGGTTTATAGGTAGTGCTAATCCTACATCCAAAAAACAAAACAACACAACCCCCCCCCCCCACAAATCAGATTTAACTTCTAAGGACCATTTTGTTATTGTCCCATTGTGGATCTTGTGGCTAGGTTTGGACATTTTAACCAGCAAGATATGTAATGTAACATATACGAGTAAGGCAATGTAAGAACCAAAATATTGTGTTTGTTTCAACTGTGGAATCAATGAATACTTGATTCCTATGTTATGTATTATTTTCTTTACATGAGTATTGTGTCATGGGGTATAGTTGCCAACTTGCCAACATTTGAGAAAAAAAGGAATCATTCCGGGCACATTTTATGTGTTTCCAGGACACTTTTGGCACCATAACCACTAGAGCAGGAAGGAATGTTTCTTTAAGGCACTGTAATGCAGAATTATGAGAATAACCATATATCCCTCAGAGTCACTCCTACCTCCCTCTAACTGTGTCGCTGTCTTCCATGTCTTGCTCTTCCTATTTTACACACTTTCTCTGTTGTTTCTCACTCCCTATCTCAGTGCTACTCTCTGCACTGTCACTCTTTGCTAATTTATCTTTCTGTTTGGCATATATAAAACCATTTTTCATAAACCAATAAAGTGGATATTACAGACATATATGAAACTATTGATGTGTATACAAAAAACTTTTTTTGCAAAATATATATTTTTATATAAATATTTTTTATTATGTTTAAATATGTATAACAAGTACAATCAGAAATATCAAAAATTTACAATAATATTACATAAGTTTCCATAGACATACTTGAACTTTCTGACAATAGACAAACTGTAATTTCATACATACAAATAGTGGCAATGCTAAGGAGAAGGGAGAGAAGAAACCCAGAATTGTGTTTATTCTTCTCGCATTAGAATATATTATACATCTAAGTTTCCTTCAATCTCATTTAACAAAGAAAATTATATTTTATATCATTTGTTGTATTTCACATTGCCATAAGACTTACAAAAAAACAAAATCAACATACAATAAGTGTCATGGGTATGATGTATTCTATATTGCACAAATTTGGGTGGAGCGCTGGGGATGCTGGGGAGGGGGAAAAGATCGCTGAACTTGAGATACAAATCTTTGTTGCCATTAATATATTTATTAATAATAATAATTTTTCACATTTCTTTAAACCCTGCATATTCAGATGGAAAAGAAAACTCTCAGGGGTGAGTTCCGGTAACTTTAAGAGTAGGTCTTTACAAAGATTTAACACAATTTCCTTTATCTGACTTAGTTTTAAACAGTCCCACCATATATGTTTCAGTGTTCCAATTTCCCTGTTGCATCTCCAGCATCGGTTAGTGTATTGGGAATTACATTTACATAGTCTAGAAGGGACTAGATACCATCGATTTAAAATGTCATAAAAGTTTTTTAGAATACCTATACAGTGCACCGATTTTCTGAGATGTTGAATAGACTCTGTCCATAGGTGGCACGGGAAGGTATTATCTAAGTCTTCTTCCTACTTTGAGATGGAGTTTATTTTGGATTCTGGTATGAATTTGATTATAATCTGTCTAATGAGTTGTGAATCATATAAGATCGAGTCTAAGGGAGACTGGTCTATTGTTTGTATTGTTTTAAGGAAATCAACAATTCTTAACCCCTTAATGACACAACTTCTGGAATAAAAGGGAATCATGACGGAATATTTCCGTCATGTGTCCTTAAGGGGTTAAATATGTAAATTTTTTGTTATTGGGGAGATCGCATTTTTGGTGTAAATCATAAAAAGTATTAAGAGAGCTATTAGATCCTAGTAGACCACTTTTTAGTATTTTTTTCCTAACCATCTGGTTAGGTCAAGATCTCTTATATATAGTTTAACTATTCCAGTGGAGGTTTACACAGAATTTGATTAAGGAATAATTTTTTTATCAGATCGATTGATTTAAACAATTGTGAAATTATCCAATTATCTATTTCCAAATTATTATACTTTTTTTTTTGTCCAGCCAGAAAAGAAGATAGGGATCTATTCCTACACACTGTTCTTTCTCCATCACCATCATATACTATGCTTTCTCTCTCGACAGATACCATGTGAGGCGGCTAGCTATTGAGTGGCCCACTGGGTGTATACCTCCAAGTGTGAGGCGGGATGTTGGC